TTTTTAAATTTCATGACAAATGGATACATTTGTATTCCCGTTTTGAATTCAAAAGTTTTAGTTTTAAGAATATTTGTTTATTGAATTGGTTTGAGATTGTTGCTTTTGTTTTGTTAGTTATAGTTGTTCAAATTTATCTCGTATTTGTTTCTTATATTGTTGGTTAGTTGATTGATTGATTGATTTGTCCATTGTTTAAATAATTTGGGATTGGTTATATTTAAGAGAAAATTCTGTCAAAATTTTTATAAAATAAACAAGACATTCCCTTTAATTTGTAATTAAGTGTTAGTTAATTTTAATTTATTGACTAATATTTAATTATTTTATTTATTTGAATATTTGAATTAAGTAATTAGAATTGAGCTTGACAGAATGACAGTACAACTATATTCACTGACTTTGTAGAACAATGATCATAGTCAAATGAAAGCTAAGAGAATTAGTAAAAAAGTTAGAGGAGGTAAATATGAGTTACATCATAATTCTTCAAATTTTTTTCACATTTTTTAATCAATTTGACTAATGAGTAAGTTATTTTTAATTTACAGGCATTCTAAGATAGTGTGCCATATGACACTGATAAAATCAACATAATGAGGGATACTATGTCAACAACATTGCTTAAGAGTTTTGAAAATTTGAAATAGTTAAGTCATTTACATTTAAGTTTATTGTTTGATTATTAACTAGTTAAGTTGTTAATTATTAGATGTAGTTGATTGAATAAGAATTTGATGTTAGTATTGGGGTTGATTTATGTCTTGAAATAGTTTTGCATTCTTCTGCTATACTAGTGGGAGTTGGTCTATAAATTGTAGGAAGATTGTATAGGAAATTGATCGCCACATGTAAAAAAAAAGAATCACAAACATTTCATAGCGTTTATTTGGATAACCTTCGTGGAAAACATCTTTAACAGTGGTTAAATACTATAACCGCTATTAAAAACCAACTTTTCATGGTGATTTGTTTCATAAAACCGTCATGGAAAGTCTTTTTTTTCACGGTGGTTATAAATCACCGTGAAATTTTCTCTTTACAACAAATTCACTGCTGCTCCAAAACCGTTGTGGAAAGCCTATTTTAACTGCCATTAAATGTCTTTTTTCTAGTAGTGTATTTTTCTAATCACATGCTAAAATGTAAAGGCATGCTCTTAAGTTGCAAGAGGACATGTGGCAAGGTTAAGGGCTAGAACACTTGATCATGAGACAAATAGGCTATGCAATTTCTTTTAATACAAAAATAGGCTATGAAATTTTAATAATTCACCTAGGACATAATGGGAAACTCAAGGCAAAAATTGAGTCTATAAATACCCCCAATATATGCATAAATTTGGCCAAAAAAGAGAAAAGAAAGGAGGGAAGGTTTTGCTCTTGAATTAAAAAAAAGAAAAAGAAAGAGAAACCAAGCTAAGTTCCAGCAACCATCCAAGGTAAGTTAAGGATTAGAGGATAGAAAATGGTTAGAAACTTATGTTGTAACTTGGTTTATGGAAGAATTCCAACTTGTGACATATATGTATATTTTCAGCCAAAGGAAGGACTTAGGGTTAGGGTTTGATTCAAGTTGATTTGATACTTCTAATAAGTTTAAAAGATAAAATTGTACAGGATTAATATGTTGAGAAGATATGTTTAGAAACATTAGAATTAAAAATAGAATTTTAAACCCAAGAACCCTAACTTTTCAGCCAACATGAGTTCAATGGGAAGGGGTTGGAATTTGATGAATCTAAGTTTAAATATGGATTCTACATAAAAAAATCATGTAGGAAAAGTATGTGGAAGTTATGGTAAAAAAGATGATACAAAAACCCTAAAATTAAAGATAAGGGGTTAGGATTTTAGGTTGAGTTTTATTGAAGTTGTTGAGTTGATATTTAGAATGCTCCTATTGTATAAATGATAGGTATTGACCTTTGGCAAGATGAAACTCAAAAACAAAAAAAAGAGAGCAAGAAGCAAATATTTGAATAAGGTACCAAAAACTTACTTTTATGTTACTTTACATTGGTTGTTTGCTATGTTTTTTCTTAATCATAATGTGATTGAGCTAGTTATGGTGTAATGTGTTTGACTCTTTGCATATTATGTCTTGGCGATATGTATGATTAAGTTGTTAAATGGTATGGTATGTTTTTGTGCTCTCTTTTTATGGCATGATAATGTAAGAGAATGTATGAAAATGTTAAATGGCATGTAGCATGTATAACCTTGTATTGCTAGTATTATAATTATTGTTCTTTGCTACTGAGTGTTCTATGAAATCTCATTCCTCTTTATATGCAAATGACACTATCACACTATTAGGGCCTGGCTCTTCAAAGTATAAAGGAAAGAATATTTAAGCTTGGGAAAACTTGCATGAAATGTCATGCAATAATGTGCTTGACTATATTATGTAATTATAAACTTTAAGTAGGGTTGTGTAAATTGGTTTGATCTTTTTTACAAGATCCTGTTTAGCGGTGTGTGGATATTAAATGTATTTTTACAATTTTATTCCTAATTAATTTTTTATTCCACCTACTCATTTTTTCTATCCTTGATCTCATTGTTAATTTTTCTCTTATTTGTTCCCACATTAAATAAGGATATATTTTTTAAAAAAGGATTTAATTTTTACATATTTATTACTTTTAACGAATTTTAACCCTTTTTTAATACCGCATAATTTAGTTAACATGATCGGAAGGAGTATAAGACCAAAATCTATTTTGTTTCTCATATTTTTTTTTTTCAAAGTAGTTGTCATTATGAATTTAATACACATAGTTTACAAGAATAATTTAGAAAAAATAATATCCATTTATTATAATAATTAAATTAACTATTTTTTTAAATATCTATAAATTAGTTATCTAATTTTTATATTAAGCATCAGAATTAGTAGTTTAAAGTTTCTATTGAATTCACGAATAATCTAGCCATTTTATAGCCCTTGGTCTTTTCAATCCATCAATAATCCTTGTTGAAGTGAGTCTGAGCAAATATTCTCCGTCAGGGCATCCTCCTTATCGTGTTACTTCGTACATCGGTCCCTGCATTCTAGATTATCCTTGCGTGTGTGCCACTGCCGTCGTGAGAATTGGGAGTGAGAGGCTGCTAAACCGGGCTTTTTTTAAATATTAAAAACTGGAGATAAATCCCTATTTAAGAAATTTATTGGGAATGAGCACCTAAAACTTTGTGAATGATGAATGACCTTAATAGTCTTAATGAAGATAGATAACATGCAAGAGACCTTAATTACAGCTAAGGGAATATACTTTACAAGAAATTCATTTGCACATAATAGATTTTGAATTGAACAAAAGACAAATTACATGTAAGGAAATTTAGTTGTATTTGAATGAAGATGTTTTATACATATAAAAGTTCAGTTACACAATGAAAGATACGTTACATGCAAGAAGGGAGCTTCAGTTACATTTAAACAATATGCTTTTGCACGTATATATGAAAGTTCAATTGCGTGTCAAACATATCTTAATAGGGTAATTAGATTTTCTTTTCCTTAGGATTTTTCAGAGTTATTAATTACTTAATGTAACTTGCGTATAATTTTTCCTATTTTTTTTATCTATTTCATATTTATCAATAAAATGTGACGAAAAGACGCTGTCAATATAATTTGAACTTCTTTTTTTGGGCATTGAAAGAGGAAATAAATAGCCAACTAATTGTTAAAATAAGAGTCATTAAATCTAATTGCTGGAATAACAAAATGCCCAATTTTTTAAGGATCTTTAAATTCATCCCTAGAAAAAATTAAGGTAAACTCACAACCAAAAACTAATAATAACAACTCATAAGTGATTGGAAAACAAATACTAATAAAAGGAAATGGGAACAACATACTCAAATATTAATAAAGCATCCGACCCGATTTTGCTGCAAATGGGAATTACGAGATTTTAATTAAGAATAAAGTATATAAATAGATAAAAATAGAAATTGATAGATAGATAGATGAGATATAAACTAAAATGGAATGAGATGAAATAAAATAAAATACAAGTCACCAAATAAATTGCGGTGGTGAAACTAAATTTATTTTTATCTCTAAATGATCAAAATTAAACATTTCACAGTAAATTGTAAAGATTAAAAATGCCCGAAAAAATCTGGCAGAAAGAATAGGAAAAATGACATAAAAAGAAATTAAAAATTATAATATTCATTTAGATACTTAAGACTTGGAAATCCTGGAGAAAGAAGTGATATCTGATTTGATATTTTACAAATATAGTTAAATGACAAAAATGCCCTCATATCAAAAAATTTATTAACAAGTTATGAATTAATAATAACAAATGTTGAATAACAAATAACAAGAAATGTATTCACAATAAAAAATTATTTATTAATAAGTTATAAACTAACAATAACAAGTGTTGAGCAACCAATAACAAAAAATGTATTGGTAATGACAATAGTATGTTAGTCATTTGACTATATCTGTAAAATACTACATCAGTACTACTTCATTTTTTAGGATTCTGACTTATTAAATGCCTGAATTAAAATATTATAATTTTTTATTTCTCTTCATGTCATTCTTTAAAAAAAAATACACAGGAAAAAAAGCGGGCAAAGCAATGGGTACTGGGGTACCCACAAAAACATTTATTTTCCTATTATCTTTTCCCCCTATTCTTCTCATTGTTCTCATTCTCAACCTCCTCCTAACCTTCGCCTTCAACCCTTGCTCTTATTGTGGAGTGGGTGTTCAAAGAATGGATGAATGCTCTCCCGAGAAGACATGAGTTTAATTTTGCTTATGGCATATCTCGAGTTTTTTTTTCTCAAAAAAAAGAAAAGCAAGTTAATCAAAATAGAACAGATATCTCATCATAGATCTAGAACCCACAGTAAACATCAATGATAAGCAAAATGCATATACTCAAGTCAAAATTTGAAATAAAACCATGAGGATTATGCAAAGGGGCAGCGACAAATAGCAGAAGAACAAATGTAATAAAGCAGAAATAAATGTAATAAAAACAGAAATAAATGAATTAAATTTATCACTTAACGTGTATACAGCCCATATAAATTGGTCAAAATGGAGACATAATCTCATACCATTAGCGGACCCTAACAATACCTTGACTTTTATTACAATCCACTGTGCTGCAAATAAAACGGGAACCAACGATCTCAGAAAATTATTCTACTGACAAAAAGGTATAATTGACACTACACTTTGTTCTAGCGAAAAGGCTGAGAAACGTATTCACTGGCTTAAATGGACTCGTAATAATATAAAAGCGTACCCATAATAATTCAATTTCAATCTAATTTGTTGTCAGCTTCTTTGCTTGCATAAGGTAATCTTCCCTTTCATTGAGCCAGAGATCAGCAAATTGGCAATTCTTCCAAGCTTCAAACCACGGCCCTCCGCGAGTATAGTGGATGGCCTTGGGGAATGTAGTTGGATCTTTCTCCGCAACCTTATTATGACCCTCAAGAAAATTCCACGCAAATGGGATGGACCCAATATCAGCGTCCTCAAGCCATTGAAACCTGTGAAGGAAAGCACCCGTCTCTGTGTTCACTGTGTCCGGAGTGAGAACACGGTTCTTGGGATGCCCGCAGTTGTACAGGACCATGGAGGACCAATTCTTCCTTGGATACACGGTCTGAACTGCCCCGTCCATTTTTGTGGTCTCCTTTGGAGCATAGTCATGTTGAACACACATCACAGCATACTTATCATCGATCAGGTCCCTCAGTTCCTTAATATCTGCTAAGTACAGAAAATCGCAGTCCACAAACATTGCCCAGCCCTCATAGCCGGCCAAGCACGGGGTCAAGAATCTGGAAAAGGAGAACTCGGTGCTCTCGAGCTGCCCTCTTTCACGCCAATACAAGCCCTTGCTTCTCAGATCGGACTGCTTGATGGGTACGATCTCCACGGGAATGGAGGCCCTTTTGAGGATCGAGTGGCGACACACCTGGTAGGCATCTTCTTCGCGAGGATCATAACCCACGAAGATCCTGAAGGGCTTCTGATCTGCAGCTTTTCCGTTAGTTGAACTCATATTAGTAGATGATGAATGTGACTCTTCCCTGTACAAATCGAGGATTTAAGAAATTAGTACAAACTAGAAACACCAAAAAAACATTGTTGTTGTCTCTGCAAGGAACCATTCCCTGAGATCGCAGGTAATATAAGAAGAAAGATAACAGAGAATAAAGAGTCAAAAAAGGTAATGCTAAATTCAAACCAAGAGCGTGATGGACAATGCACGGAGAAGCGGAGCCAAAGAAATGAGAAGCAGAGAGCATGAGCGTCGGGGCGAGGATTTAGATGATTGTGAGGTGAACGCAGTGTGTGGATATATCTATATATAAATATGTGTGTGTGTGTGTGTGAAATGCTCGGAACATAATAATTACTGCTAAAAATACAGCAGAAGGATCCGCGGTAAACAGCCTCTAAATCCAATGGCAATGATAGCCAATGGGAGAGGGCCCCTTGATTTGCCGCCTCCGTTTTCCCACCTAATTATTTTTTTAAATAATCATTTAAAATTTTTTTACTTCTTTAATTTTATTTATAAATCACTTTTAATATGTTTTACACAAATTAAAAAAGTTTTTAAATTTTATTAGTTCTTATTTAAAATTTAACAATATTTTAATTTCATTTTGACCTAATATATATTATATCTCATGTAAATAAAATCAACATAATAATAAATAAAAAGTAAAATTGTATATCTATATAAAAAATTTCTCTTATTATCCTATAAATAGAATTAAAAAATACCTTTTTATCTCTTTCTTACAAATAGGGTCAGAGAAATATATTTGAAGACTCACACGTCAAAATATTTAAATAGTTAGAAAATTAATATTTTAAATTTAATTTGTTTACTTTGAAATTATTTCAATTAATTCTTCAAACGTGTAGTAATATTCTTTTAATATTTTGATTCAATAAATTTCCAAAAAAAGAAAAGATTTTCATCCGAGTGGGACATTGTTCTTTATAAAGGAAACACTGTTTTTTGCAGAGGGTTATAGTCTTTAAAGATGTATTTAACTATTGCAATTTTAAATCATTTTGCATACAGCTAAAGTAGGTCGCAATACAGTTGTAAAAGAGTTGAACCCATTTAAAATAGGTTACATGTGAGTTGTACATGAAGTTAAAAGTACTCTTTAGCTAAAAATTTTTACCCATCAACAAATAAGTATACTTCCTAGAATTCAAATTGAGAATACTCATCATCTTAACCAGCTTACCATTCCAATTAATAGTTTGTTAATACTTTTGAGCAAAATTTTGTTAAGTGAGCTTTCCAACTATTATTTCCTTTTAAAATTAATTTTCTTTAAATTTAATAATCTTGACGCAAAATTAGCCGAACGTGAAAACGCAGTTCCACTTCCTGAGTCTTGCACCGACAACTCTATTTTCCGAAGGAAGAATAAGATATTCACACGCTACCGCATGAATAGGACAGATGCATACGCGCTTTCTCGATGCTTCCTCAATCCCCCCTTTTGGCAATAATCTAATTATGCTTTTTTGTTTGAGAAAATTACTTCATTATGTCCTCAACTCCTCAAAATTTTAGTTTTGAATTATTTTAATCAAATTCTTTTAGATTTAATCGCTAAAGAGATCAGTCCTTAATAACACTCTTTGTTTTTTATGATGCGGGTTTTTGACACGCCAAAAATATGTTTTTAAAATTAGCTTATTCTAAAAACTGATTGGCGGATAATTATTTAATCAGGAAGCCTAAAAAGTGAAAACTCCCGGCCCCATAATCGTCAAAGCCAGCCACTTCCAGTGCCTTCACTGAACTTGCAGAGACTGAACCTGCCATGTAGCTTCTCGCGCAAAGATCCTCGAGGCCTGTCAGCCTCTCCATGGAGAAGAAGCCTGTTGTCGAGTCGAAGTTGAAGCCGCCGGCCGACATGTTCTCTCTAGCAGAACATCCGACCACCACTAAAGTATCGAATTAATGCTCAGAAGAATGAGCTCTGGGGTGAGAAAAGTAAGAGCTTGAAGAGGCTTGCTGAATAGGATGGTGAGTCCTCCGGCCATAGAGCCAAGAGGACAAAGGGTGTTATTAAAAGTCCCGATCTGGGTACTGCCAGCAACTTTTGATTCAAGAATCTTCCTTTCTCTTTGACTTATTCCAGAGAAGAAGAAGAAATTAAAGGGTGTGTTTGTGCCTTTCGAAGTTGTCTCTGCACCATAGATGGATTCCATTGTTAAGAAGATCACAGATTTAGGTGACAAAGGCGTTTAGGGGGGCAATCTGCCTTCCAAGAAGCTTCAATATAGAACACTTCATCAGAAAGCCAAAGCTTGAGCCTAAGGTTGAATGAGAGCGCGAGCGCGAATGGAAACGTTTTTAGAGTGACAATGATGATTTGGACCAAAAAAACAGTGACAATGATGATGATGAAGTTCTCCATTTGTAGGCTTTCAAGGGTAAATAATAACCCACCTGGCAATTTTTGTTATTTGCTACTCCCTCCGTTTCTTATTATAAGAGACGAATAACCGAATTACGTTGATAAAAAAAATAGTTAAAATTAGTTTAAAACAATTAATGTGTAAAAAGTATAATTTTTTTCCTAAAAATACCCTCATTAATAAGGAGAGAGAGCATGAAAAAGAAGAATTAAATTATTAAATAAAAGACAAGTGGGAAGGAGAGAGAGTGTGAGTTGGAGACAATAAATATAGGTAAAATAAGAAATCAACACAAAAAAGTAGAGATAACTTTTAAGTGTCTCTTATATATAGGAACATGCCATAAGTATCAAATGTCTCTTATAATAAGGAACAGAGGGAGTATATGGTAAGACAAAATGGTAGAGTTCTTGCAATATCATAATACTTCTCGATTCTTAATATAAAACCTATTTAACTAATTTGATTAGATTAAAAAAGTTATGTAAGTTAGTTAATTATAAGAAAAGTACACATTTTTCCTAAAACACTATAATCATCTTTCTTAATACCTCATCTCCCTTTTCTACTTAATTATGGTTGAGGAAGTATCCATATGGGTAATTTAGAGAAAATTGATAAATATGACAAATAAGTTTTATATTTAGGACAAAAACCAACTCAACAATTAGATCCTATATTTGGACCGGAGGAGTACAATCAAAGACTTAATCTTGATTTGCTTCTTCATCGTTCCTCTTACGCATAATGTAATCCTAAATGTCTATTCAATGAAAAGAATGGATATGGCCATGTGGGAGCTTTAATGCTAGAAAAGGGTAAACTAGTGAAGTACTACTTTTGGTCCTTTAAGTTAGCTTGGTATTCAAGTTGGCCTTAAATATAAAATTACAATTTATTTTGTCTCTCATACTTATCTTCTTTATTTTTTAAATGGTCCTTATAGTAATTACATATGTTAAATGTTTTATCAAATAGTAGTTCTAACTAATACACATAATTAATTAGCAATTATATTTTAGAAAAGACAACACCTATTTATTATAAATAACTAACTTTCATTATATATATATACTCAAATTAATCAACTAACTTTTATATTAAAGACCAAATGTAATATTATAATGAAGAAATACAGAATATATATATATATATATATAGTTGGAAGCTGTATAAAATGTTTCTAACAGTTAGGTACTCAATGTTTGTAACCTTTATATAATCAATGAAGATTGTATTTATAGATTTGTAAGTTAACAGCCCCTGGATATTGAGGTGAAAACGTTGGCAAAAGAAATAGATACGGAGGTAAAACAAGAAAAAAGCCCTTATATACAAAAATCGGGCATTACTTTGAGTAATTACTTGTTTAATATTAAAAGTATTTAATAATAATACTTGAATTTTAGAGAACATATTAATGATGATTTTTTTTTGGAAATAAAGGAGATATTCAAAACTGTGAAAGTTACAAGGGAATAAAACTTATGAGCCATACAATGAAATTATAGGAAAAGGTGATTGAACATAGGTTAAGGTTGGAGACTTCTATTTCAGAGAACCAATTTAGATTTATGCTGGGGAGATCCACAATAGAAGCAATTTATTTATTAAGAGGATTAATAGAAAGATATAGGAGTAAAGGAAAGAATTCATATATGGTTTTTATTGCCTTGAAAAAACCTTATGATCGTATGTCAAGAGAAGTACTTTGGAAGGCTTTGGAAAAGAAAGGTGTACAATTTACTTATATTAAAGCCATACAAGATATGTATGAGGGGGCAACTACTAGTATAAGAATGTCTGGAGGTCAGACAAAAGACTTTCCCATTAAGACTGGTCTATATTAAGAATCTTCTTTGAGTACTTACTTGTTCAATATTGTTCTAACTGAGCTTATTCAAGAAAAAATTCCTAACTGCATGCTTTTCACGGATGACATAATCCTTATGATGGCTAAATCAAAAGCAGAGATTAACTCCTTAGAGTTATGGGAAAGGACCTTGGAGTTGAAAGGTTTTCACTTGAGTAGGAGCAAGACGGAATATATGTATTGCAATTTTAGAAGGAGGCCAGGCAATGGTGATTTGGTGGTGAAAGGAGAAGATCAAATCATTCTTCAAGTGTCGAAGTTCAAATATTTAGGATCTACTATACATGAGAATGGTGAAATTGATGGTGATGTTTCGCGTAGAATACAAGCTGGTTGATTAAAGTGGAGGAAGGTTACCAGAGTTATTTACGATAAGAAGGTACCTAAGAAGTTTAAGGAAAAAATTTATCGGACTGCTATAAGACCAACTATGTTATATAATAGTGAATGTTGGGTGTTAAAGGGAAAACAATAGCTTAAAGTTGGAGTATGAGAAATGAGGATGTTGAGATAAATGTGTAGTCATATAAGAAAAGATAATGTTTAAAATGAAATTACCTGAGCAAGAGTAGGCGTGGCACCGATTGAAGAGAAAATGGTTGAACATCGCTTGAGGTGATTTGGGCATGTGTAGAGAAGGCCATTGGAGACCCTGATGAGAAGGATAGAGAAGACAGTTTGGGATCCTACAAAAAGGGGCAGAACAAGGCCAAGAAAAATGTTCAACGAGATCATTGAATGGCACCTCCTGGTCAACAACATATCTAGGAACTTGGTTGTTGATAGAGCATATTGGCAGCGTGTAATTCATGTAGCTCACCTCACCTCGTGAGATAAAGTTTGTTGTTGTTGTTGTTGTAGTACATTAATAATGATTTTTTTTGCCATTTTAATATTTTTTGTGTTACGCGCCAAAATTTTAATATAAGTGGAAGAATATATTTGATTCGATACTCTTTGTATTAGAATCCGTTGCAATAATGGAAAAAAAATACTAATAAACTGTTAGTTGAAATGG